CCTACGTGGTGACTAACAACCATCCATAACTCTAGTTCCAGGGAACCCAACGCCCTCCTCCAACCTCCTCTGGCATTGCATGATATGGATGTACTTATATGCATGCAGACAATACACTCATACACATTAAGTTTAAAATAAAAATAATAAATAAAATACTTAAAAAACAAACAACCCACACAACATATTTATGAATAAGTGAAGAGTTTAAAATAGATATTATTGGGACTCCTATATTGAACCTCACCCACCCACAGCTCAGGGACCATTTCAAAAGAGGGCACAGATAGACCATAAGAGCCAGGGCTGGTTCATGAACACAGGGAAGCAGAGGCTTTCAGGCCATTGGGAGCCTGTACATGTCAACTTGTGACAATGGTGGCATTGAGCACAAAACCCATGCCAGCTCAATTAAACAAGGGCCCAGAGGGGAGGAGAGAAATGGGTGGTAGGCCAGCCTTAGACTGAGAACTACTGGAAACTGATTGATGCTGGATGAGGGAGAGTATGCCTTACAATCATTCTCTGGATGAGCTGACTAGACTCTAGTGGATCAAAGTGGACAAATTTTCACTGAAGGACATATGGGTACAAATGTTTGACTGGATGCGATTTAACATGTATGTCAGAATACATGAGGTCCAGTGGGGGGATGGGGGTACCGATGGGGGAGGGGGTCTAAATTTGATTAATAACTGTTTTACAAAATTACAAAAGCTCAATAAATAGTTTAAAAAAATAAAACAAAGAAATTATTACTAGATATCTTACAGCTAATATACTAGATGTGGCTGGTGGTCATTAAAATACTTTTAAGTGGCATTTTTTGTTTCCTGCTTGATGTTTTCATTTAACAAACATAAGGAAATAATGCTTGTACTTCAAGATCATACACAGATGTGGTAATGAAAGGGGAAGGACAAGTGAGTGTGTCGTGAGCACTTGAGTACAACACAAGGGACAATTATACGTGACAAATACAGAGAATAAAAGGGTCAAGAACAGAGATGCCCATGGAGGAGCTGAGCTCAGGACAGTGAATACAAAAAGATGGGATGGGGACAGTAGTTTAGGAATGAAGGGACATGTTGGTGGATGGCACACGAAAGTGAATGCCAGAGATGGAAGGGAAGGTGTAGCTAGGGAAAGGTCAGTCCACCCCAATAAATGGGACGAGTTTTCCATGTGGAGGGGTAGACCAAGGGAGAACAGGTGGTTTGGGCCAAGATTATGGAAAACCCTGAATATGGACTTGGGTTTGATCTTGCTTAGGCGGGCAGTAGAGGCCACAGATGACTTTTGAGCAAAGAACAACAGTGACAGAATTCAGCAGATGTGTGCAGGAGAGAAAAACTGAGCACAGCAATCACGAGAGGGAGCTGCTGCAAAAACCCAGTTAATGAACTATTTCCAGAATGAGGATGGTGGCAGGAGCAATAGAAAGCCTGTGATAGCTAAGCGGTCTTCAAGTATGATTGACAGAGAAGTGAAATCAGCTCCCTGCATTACTTAGTGCCACTCTAAATGTATTGAATATCCGCTGTTGTCATATGAGAACACAATGTGCTTAAGGAGGTGTAATTTAGCATTCACCGTAGCTAAGGAGGGGGGTCTCTAAGCCTTTTGTAACTTCATATCCATCTCAAAGCATGCCTCATCATGAGAAGAGTGTCCTAACTTATCCTCAGTAGGAAATACCCACTGTGAAAACTGTTCACAAAGAGGAGGAAAAAAGGTCAAATTAGAAAGTGATCGCTTGTAACATTTCACTCTGCATTCATGTGGAACAAGGTATGCTTTTGCCAAGTCCCTTTCTACGCACTCCCTCATTTCCCCTAAAGCAGCCCTTGAGGTGCTAAGGGATGAGACTTACAGGTCCTGTTTTCTAGAGGGATGATTTGATGCCTGCCCACGGAGAAAACTGGAGTTGCAAAGATACTACTGACTCCCCTTATAGGATCTTACCTCTACAGCTTGTAATCCTACTGCTCTCTGCTTAGTTAAAGGCAAGTGGTCCGCACTTTACAGGACTTAAAAATAGACACTCGTTGGATAAGATGTGGGTGCTGTGGAAACCCAGCCGGGGAGCTGATGAAAGCTGCCCAGAAAACGTCCTCCACCGAATGAGACACAACCCAGAGCCCAGCTGGGAATTCCACTGCCGCTTAGGGTTAGGGGTTGTTTATTTTTACTTCTTGGCTCAGGTCGTTCATTCCTGTCCTTGTCTCTTCTTAGGACTCCTCCCTTTTTCTCCTTGCCTATCTTGGCAGTCATAGCCCTACTTTGTGTTTGGCCATGCCCCAGCTTCTAATGCCACCATCTAAAAATACATCTCGCTATAATAAGTTTCATCTTCTGTAGGTGGCACATTTTAAAACTGATACCAAAGAAACATATCATATCACCACTGTCCTTTGATTCATTTAGCCTGTATATTAAAGACCCAGAAATAAAATAACCACAATTTACAGGGGGCGGGGGAGAAGAAAAAACCTTAACGCACAACGACTCTTTCAAGTGACATTATCCAGCCCAGTGTTTGTGGTGGGCTTATGTAATCAGATATAATTATCTGCACACGTTTGTTGCAGTATCTCAGAAATGATTCCCAGCTCACCAAATGACATCAGAAAGGTTAATAGTGGATTCCACCCCCCTTTACCCTGTCTACATTTCTGTGCTACAGTTAGGAAATAAGGATGCCAAATAGCAGAGCTGTCGGACCCGTTTCCTGCCGAGTCATGCAGACTTTCTTCAGTTTCATTTTTCAGTATGCCTGTATTTTTGTTCCTACCGCTGGAACTTTCTTCATGTTCTTCTCTTCCACTTACATACAAAGTTTTCTCTGCAGACTTTCTTCAGTTTCATTTTTCAGTATGCCTGTATTTTTGTTCCTACCACTGGAACTTTCTTCATGTTCTTCTCTTCCACTTACATACAAAGTTTTCTCCGGGAAAGTCTAATATCTCAAAATATTCATGCATTCTTAACATGTACAGACACAAAGCTCCTTCATTTATTTAAAATCTATTTGAGAATACATGTAGCCACATGGAACCTTGCATCCTCCTAAGCAGGCTTTCCAGCAAGTTAGCCATTAACACAGCAATAATAATGACTACTGTGAGAATAAGCTCAACATGGGAAGAATGCTCTGTTCCAGAAATCTTTTCTAGAAAATGACATGATTGTTGAAACAATATATAGCAACTTGACCCTTCCTTCCTTTCCAAAGAGTGATCAATAGTTATGATATGACCTCAGAAGGGATTCTGCCTGAAGGTAGCAGAGAGAATTTCTAATTGTAAGTGGTCTTAGAATTCATACACATACACACAGACAAAATCACCTGGTGGCTGACTCCTTTCTACAACATCCTTTCCAAGGAGCTGGTCAAACCATGAATGTGATGGGGAGTTCTTGACTTTCACGGGCAGCCAAATCCTTTTAAGGAGAGCTTTGTCTGTTAGTGAGGCCATCATATTCAGTGAAATCCATTTCTTGAAGCTTCTACTCAATGAACTCACCCTGTCCCACTTAGACCATTCTTGATGAAGCCTTCTCTCAGATGGCACCCACACCTTCTCTTCTTTGGGGTGAGCATTCCTCTTTTTTATTGGTGTGGTGTTTGTATGGGTGTGTGCATATGTACACATGAGAGAGCAGGCATATGTGTTACATGTGTGTGGAGACCAGAGGCTTGTATAAATACAAGTTGTGCCAGGTGTCTTCCTCTATTGTTCTCCACTTTAAGACAGGGTCTCTTTACTGACCCTACAGCTCACAGATTAGGCTAGGCTGGCTGTCCAATAAGCATAAGCTCCAGGGACTGCCTGTCTCTGCTTCCCAGTGCTGGTGTTACAGATGTGTGCCGCTACACATGACTCTTTACATGGCTACTTGAGTTGTCACAATTACAGAGCAGACACTTTTCTGACAGAACCTAGCCCTAGCATCCCTCATTTTTTAAAAGAATTACTCTATGTCTAATGAAATAGCTGCTGTTTTCTTGCAAGTCTCCCTCCAGACTTGCCATAACTGGGTAAGACAGACTCATGCAAAGTTGAGCCTTCATTAGAATAGACTTAAGATCACATTATTAAACCAAGCCTATCTTGCCCTCCTTCCACCCCAACTTACTCAATGATAACAACAGCAACAAACAATAACACTGACCCCATCAGCCAACCACAGCTCTGCGTCCCTCCGTAGTTCTGAGCCAGTGATCCTCACCGGAGCCTCCTGTAACCTCTTAAAGGCTGGAAATCACCCTTGATCTAAACAACAGCCCCCTTTTACAGGCTGGCTACCCCATGTCCCAGCTTGCTGTCATCGCCACTGAGATAGCAGACGATTGATCTGAGAAATCAAGTTGGATTGCTGTCCCAAATCTACACTCGGTTCTCCTTGTGTCTGTCTGATCGATTTCACTCTGTGCGACATAGCTTGTCGCTATGAATTTTCATGCTAGTCAGGAGCCGCCAGCACACCCAAGAACAAGTGGAAGATGGTCTGAACCCCTCTTGTCCCTTCAAAGTACTGAGCCAGGGTGTCAATTTTTTTAAAAATCACCTATTGACAGATTGGGGAAAGGTGTTTTGTTTTTAAGGTCACAGATCTGGATGCAATAGATGCCGACCACTGGTTTTCTTCCCTAGGTATCCTGGCCCCAGCCTGTGGTGACATTTCCTACCACTGTTGTACTAGGTGTCACCTGTTTAGCAGCTCCTCTAAGCTGAACGCATGTGGCCGCAGGTGCCACGCAAACACTGATTGTGTCTGACAGCCCTAGACGCCAGCTGCCTGCATGAAGCCTGCCCAATCACCACGTTCTTTCATGAGGAGGATGTTGCCGATGGCACGACCGATACGGAAACAAGAAACTAGGTGACCATAAAGCTAAGACAAGCCCTACTAAGTGACATTCTAGGCCCTGTGGCTTTGAAATAATTGGTAGTGATAGAATAAAAACAAAGGGTTGGGGAGCCTTGTTTGCTTACACTGATGCCCTGCGGACTGTACATCTGACTGGCTGCGAGTCCGTCACTGTATCCTCCTGTCTGGCTGATAACATGGCGAAGGGTATCCACCTAGATGGGAGAACAACAGAGAGGCAATTAGAGAAAGACAGGGGACAGGAGGCAGTTCATTGTCTTACAAGATACTGACGGGGCATGCCACAATCATGCCATCATTTTAGAGAGATTCTTCTTGGGGAAGAGTCCATGAGGAGGAAGGAGGCTGGGACTCCCCCTCATGCCAAATCCATTGTCACTTCTAAGTTCAGATAAACAGTAAAAGAAAACTAGGGTTCCTAACACTGAACCTGATTCCACAATGCTGCACGAGATGGCAGGGGCTGTGATGGTAAAGGAGGAGGAAGGGAAGAAGACAGACACATTTTCCCTTCTCCCCACTTTTCTTTCCTATAGATCATCCCATACAACTTCTGTAAAAGTCAAGGCTCTGGGTAGGCTTGAGTAGCCGTATCACAGAGAGAGGAGAATGTGATGAAGACTCAGTTTTCATGAGGACTTAGATGAAGGCTAGTCGTTTAGTCATGTGACCAAAGTCTGCCTGTATCACCTCACATTGTTTCCAGGCAGTGTTTCCTGAGCAAGGGGCTGAGTCACCAGCCAGTTGTCTATCCCAGGCACGTAACATTTTCTGTTCCACATGTCGGGTGGGAAATTGGGTAGACGTGGCTCATATCTTCCCTGGTAATTCTGACCCAGAGCATATGACTTCACCCTCTCATATCACACTTCATGTTGAGATAGCACAATGGCTTCCTGAGGTGTCTGTCTTGAAGGTGGCTAGTTTACTAAAGAGCACTGAGGTTTACACATGACTTGATTTTTGGTTCCCAGTGTGGTCTTATCATCAGAAATTCAAGTCTGTTGACCTCAAGGGTGACTAAGCAGATGCGTTTAGTCAAGCTGCCTTGGTATGTTTAGAGCTTAAAATGAAAGCAGGAGATAGTAACGCATTTGTCTGCTCGCTGATGACTTCCTTATGTTAGTAAAATGTTCAACATGGTACACCTGCAGATGAGAGGGAGACTTGAAAGAAGAGATGAAGGAAGCTCTTTCCTTTTCCTTCGGTAAATAATGAAGATGCCAGTTCCACATGCCTGTTAGGCCTCCTTCACCTCACCCTGTACTTCCTGTTCCTGTCTTGCTTTCCTAGTGTGACTGACAAGCCAGAGCCAAATACACTCACAAAGTATGGGTGGACAAGATTCCCCCTGACAATAACTGTCTTTGTTTTGTTTTGTTTTGGCTGGTATCCATCTGTCTGTCTGTCTCTCTCTTATTTTTCCTCCTCTGTCTAGACAGGAGCCGGGAGCCAATACAACTGATGGCTCTTGGACTCTACTGCATTCACCTGGTGGCACATTGGCTGGGTCCCTACCTGTGATTGCACGTTGGCTCCAACCTGGGCCCCTTGGTAAGAATCCCCATTGAGTGACTGCACGCTCATGAACAAATCTCCAGAGTTTGACATGTTAAAAGAACTGGAAGAACCTGGAAAGGAAAGAGTGAGGCACCTGAATCACAGAAAGGAAAAGACTGAACCCCGCAACTAACAGCCAAGAGAAGCATGGCATGCAAAGCAACTCCCCAAATCCAATGTAAAATGAAAACAACACCCAGAGCCTGGTTAGTAGCATGAAGAAGAGAGGAAGCAAAAAGGGTGCACACTGTCAGCGTTACGTGAAGTCACCCCTGACTACAAGCTGTCAATAGGACTGCTTTCTCCTAACGCATTCAAGCTGAGAAAGGGAAGCTCTAATCCTCTTAGACCAGTTCTATAAAATTCTAGGGTTGGCCAGGAGGCCAATAAGACAGGGAATATGGGCTACTCAGAGATAATTCTGCCACCATGATGGAGCACTAGGGCATTATTTTTCTGGATTCTAAATCTGCTACTGCTGGACCCATCTATTCACTTGGAGAACAGCACTTAGCAGGGGAGGGCTATTGACATTCATATTGGGTCTATTGACATTATTGATTTCTAGAAAGAAGGTAAAGTTCTTTGCTGAGTGGCAAACAGCCCAGGGAACCCCAAGGATTACAAGCTATGTGAGAATGATGTAGCCTTCCTGTCATCTGCCAGGATACAGGAAGATAAAGCAGAATATTGGGCCAAGGATTTTCAAGCATGCATGAAATGTGAAATGCATCTGATAATAATTTTTAAATTGGACCTCCAGAAGGAGAGTTTAGCATTGACTTTCACCTTCCAGAGATGGAGGCTCCATCTAGTTAGCCTTAGATCCACCCACAGGATCCTGGGGTTCACTGGGATGAACCTAGACCAAGCTCAACCTGAACCCCATAAAGCTTACTAGAGCTCTGAATTCATCGTGCAGCTCAGCGCATAGGAAAGAAAGCTCAACGTGCAAGGTTTGGTTAAAACATGACGTTAGCCTGGCAAAGGAGAGACTTCAGGGACCCAGGTCAGTTGCACTCTGTGACTTCTAACCCTACATCGCTTGAACTACACCATTACCCTCAGATTCTGACAGCCACCATGAGTGTGCAATCATGTGAGTCATGTGTCTGTTCAGATGTATTCTCTTCTCCCCAAACAGGGACCTGAACCCTGAAAGGGCACTGCCCTGCCCACATGAAGAACTAAGTAGAGAAGGCTCTGTCTTTTCCCCCAGAGAAGGACCAGTTAACAGGCAATGTGTTCTCCACTCTGCCATTACGCTTTACATGAGACTGTCTATTGTAACATCGTACATCAACACCAAAGGCCATTTAAGAGGAACCAGGTGATTTGCAAAGGTGGGGGCCAACCTCCTGTTAAGAACATCTGCATTCTCCTTTGTTCCATGGATTTTGCATCTTCATGCAAGAAACTGTGTAACTATATTTCTACACAAAATGACCGGCCCTCTACTTCTCTTCTCATTCTTGCTTTTCCGGGGATAAGAAGGGATTTCTTTATGGGTTGAGGGAGGATTCAAATATCAACTAAAGGATCAGGTCTCATTTGGTACATATTCCTCTACCTTAGCTGAAATGAATTAGACATAATGAATCTTAGCAAAGCAGGAATAATATCTAACAAGGTGTGGCTTATTTCTAGCCATTGAGATGAAGATTCTGGCCTGTAGCCTCCTTCCATTAATATGGCACTTTATCTTTGAAACCATCCTTCCCAATCTGTGGATGAAACAGCATGTATCCCAGTTTCCCTTGGATAGAATTCCCAGACCTCTACATATAAGTGATATCCCCCTTAAATCTAGTTTATAATCACAGAGAACCTATAATAAAATCCGTAAGTGCCACATTCAGCACTCATAGAACCAAGAACCCTAATTATAACCATCTTCTTGTCATCGGATTTCCCATGCTCCTTGTCTCTGAAAGTGCTGAGTTTGAAGCCCTAGTACTTTATTTTTCTCCCACTCTCAAATACCATATAATAGTTACACATGCTGTATGTTTGGATGAGGGTTTATTGGTAATCACCACACAATCTGAGCCATGGGAGAACACCCCCAAAGGGCTATACTGATGCCAAGTAAGATGGTATTCACAGGATCATGCAGGCATAGTGTGCCATTTACAAAATATACACTGCAATTGACACAGAGGATTTAGAAATATATGTGCATAGATAAATTGTAAATATGTCTGGCTGTGTAATATACACAGAGATAAATATGCGCATATAAATGTACTTCATGTACAAATGCATTTGTATCAGAGCAGTAATTGCAGAAATAGTCCCTTGTGCTCTTGGCTGTGCTGTTTCAGCATTTCATTGTGTCTGTACACCAATGTATGACACTTTCATGGCTTCAATTCTCTGATGAGAATCTAGGGTAAATGACTGAAGAGATCAGGTGCTGCTAATACCACAGCAGAGCAAGCTGAAGTGGTGAAAACATCTGAAAGGTGGGGGAGGCTGTGTTCCTCACCTTGCACTGTGAGTTAGAAAGAACTTATAGAATGCACAGTCTCCTGAGAAGTACATACGTCCTGGGCAGAAAGTGAACGGGGTCTCTTGGAGATGTTGTGGAATTCCCACAGAGGGGATGTAGGATTAGCTGGTTGGCTAAGACCATCCAGTCGCCTTACCTGCAGGCTGCTGTGGAGTAATCAATCAAGACTAGCAGCACATTTCTAGATGTGCCGGTGGAAAAGCTCTAAATTTGGCTTGGGAATGAAGGCAAGTGCCACATGGACACTGGGTATGTAGGGGGTGACATTTCAGCCAGCCAGAGAAGAAATAAAGCATCACCTGTGATTTCTAACGCATTTGCTTGGGCATGTGACTTGGAAATGTGTTAACATCCATTTTCATAAGACAAGTTCCTGAAGATTGTAATCTTATTCAAAAGGATCTTTAGAAGTCATAAGCTTGTTCAGAAAAAACAAATAATAAAACCCAAGAAAAAAATAATAATGATAACAAAGCCTAAACCTAGAGCACGGTTTCCTAACCCTGGCACTACTGACACTTTTAGTCAGGACACTGCCTTGTTGTGGGGAACAACTGATGCTTTATGGGATGGTTAATTGAATTTTCATTGCTATCCATTCATGCCAGTAACACCCTCTAAAAGGTGACAATGAAGATTGTCTCCAGATACTACTGGATATCTACTGGGGTGTGAATATATCCATAGTTGAGAACCAATGTCTGAGAACAAAGATAGGATGTGTGTTTCTCTTAAGAAACTCACAGTGTTTGCCAATATGAGCTCATTGCTTTTCACCGAGCATACACATGTCCACATGTCATGAAGCAGTTGCCTGGAAGATACTATCTCAGTTTCTGGCGTTTAGAAAATCAAGTTTGAAGTTAAACTCCTGGTGGCGCACACCTTAAATCCCAGCACTGGAGAAGCAGAGGCAGGCAGATCTCTGTGAGATTGAGTTCCGGGCTAGTTGGGGCTACAACAAAGCAAATAAATAAAAAATAAAGAAGGAAGGAAGGAAGGAAGGAAGGAAGGTAAATAAAGAAGGAAGGAAGGAAGGAAGGAAGGAAGGAAGGAAGGAAGGAAGGAAGGAAGGAAGGAAGGAAGGGAGAGAAAGAAAGGAGAAATCAAGTTTTAGATAGATGACGTGAACAGCCTAATTTGGTTGGACTCTTACGTCCTCTGGGAGCATAAAGGACAAATCTTCCTTATTAGATATAAACCTAATTATGTCTCATTCCGTTTTCTTAAATTTTTTTTGAGACAAGGTTTCCCTGTAGCCCCAGCTGGCCTGGAACTTGGTATGTAGACCAGGCTGGCCTGGCTCTTACAAGATTCTCCTGCCTCTGCCTCCTGGGTGCTGGGATTGAAGGTGTGTGCCACCCACCTGGAATGTTTCATTCTTGTATCCAAGAAAGTCTCTCTCTCTCTCTCTCTCTCATCCTTAATTCACACTTTTATAATGTTACCAAACACAAGAATTTGAGAACTCATCATTTCAAGTCTCCCCAGTGAGCTACAAACCAGTGGTTTCTATAAATGCTTCACCTGGTCCCCACTGTCTCTCTCATTTTCTCTCTCTCTCTCTCTCTCTCTCTCTCTCTCTCTCTCTCTCTCTCTCTGAAACAACTTTATTTTCACTCCTTTCATCCTTCCCCTTTGCTTCATTAATTTTGTCCAACTCTGCAGGTGGAAACTCTGAAACATGCTAAATGTCTCTACACGCTTGCTAATTCCCTGAAAGAATCTAGTCTCAAATGACTTTTATGAAGTGTAATTATACAAAAGGAGGCAAAGAATAATCAACAATCAGGGCTGCTTAGAAGTGGCCTTGCTAATAGTCCTGAAGTGCTATTCCCCACACAGGAACATAAAGAGGGAAGAGGAGTTGGTTGGAGTACTGTTTTTCTTGCAGTGGAAATGTGTATTTAAACTAAGAAAAGTTTCTGGAAAAATTTCTGATTCAATGATGAGGCTATGGAACTTTCCTGGGTACCAGAAGTCTAGACTTAAAAATCTACCAAAATATATTATCATATATTAACCTTTTATTTAAAAGTTGTTTCTTCCATTACCATTTTCCCTTTGAAATTATTGAAGAACCAGTACATAAGGTAATAAACACTCGATGTGAAAGTTTGAGCACTTATCATACCATCTGTGCAATGGTTTAGGTTGTTAAAAGCTGAAGAACACACAGGAAAAAAAGCCCATTTATAACTTTTCCTGTTAAGACATTTCTCTTTTAAAATTCCGAGCTATTGCACACGTACAATGGTATTTTCTTTGGTCTCTGTTTTAGAAAGAAAGCACTACAAAAGGGTTCCTCTGCATATTATTTCCAACAACTTAGGCACAACTGGAAGGCTTAGCTCACATTTTCCATAATAATGTACTCTGTGCTCAGAATAGTGATATGAAGTTTAAGCCACCAGAAAAATTCCTTAGAAAACTGTAATCACTGACTGACATTCCATAAGAGCCAAAATAATTCTTAAACACAGAGTGGGGGTTAAAATGCTTACTTCTCTCTTTTTAAGGGCTTTAGGAAAGAAAAATAGTTATGGATTTAGTAATGAAGAGAGCCCACAGGGCCCTTCTAAGGACTAGTCATAAATCATGCTAAGCCATCTGTGATACAGATATGGCGGGGACAGGGAAAAAGTCATTTTGATATCTGTTTTGCATTATGATAACCTCTGCAGGAGTGTTGAGTGCATTTTTGCTAATACTGACAGAACTGTACTTCTTCCAAAGAGATAAGTGAAAATGTCTGCCCAGCAGTACAGTCCAGCTTGTGTTGCTGGGTCTGAAATGCTTAATGATAGACCAGATGGGGAAGGAGGAAACTCTGGTTATTGAATCCGTTAGCATGGATCCCTTGTCAATCACATCATGATGAGGAATGAAGAAAAACAGTAGAAAATACAACTCTTTAGAAAGCAAATATGTTCTTCATAGAAAACCAACTTGCAGGTCTGGGAAACAAAAGTGGATCAAATTCTACCCTGTCTTGCCATATCCATGTTTACAAAGCCTAGGGCTCTCTTCATACATGATTTGATTTAAACAAAAGAAGGTCATGGTAGTCTAGCCCAGTGACTTAGAGAACCTTACGACAAAGATTCAACTAGAAGATTACAGTGTGTGGTTCCTACAGTTAAAGAACTGCATATCATACACAGAACACTTATTTGGTCAACAACTAAGTTGTGAAGTTGAAGATACCATATTCAGAAATTCCTGAAATCTGATTTGTAATCGTATTATAATTGAATATATTTAGATTTGTTGTGCATATATTATTGGCATCATCAGTTGTCTTAGATGTACACTCCACATTCCAAATAAATGTATTTTGTTTATTATGGGGAAGGATGGTTGTTTTAGATAGCATTCTGTTGCTCTGATAAAACACTGACCAAAAAGCAACTTGAGGATGAGTTTATTTCATTATATATCTCCCAGGTCATAGTTCGTCACTGAGGGAAGTCAGGGCAGGAACTAAGGCAGTAACTGAGGCAGAGACAATGGAGGAAAGCTGCTAACGGGATTGTTCCCCTGGCTTGTGCTCAGCCTGCTTTCTTATACAGCCAAGGCTCACCTCTCCAGAGGAGTGACCATCCACAGTGGGTTGAGCCTTCTAACATCAACCAACAATCAAGAAAATGCCCTATAGACAGGCCTGCAGGCCAGTCTGATAGGGGACATTCCTCAGTTGAGGTTTCTTCTTCCCAGGTGTATCAAGTTGACAAATGAAGCTAACCAGAACAGATGACATCTGAAATCAAATGTACTTAATAAGGAAATATTTGTTTTCCCTTTATTCTCT